TAGCAGTTTTTCCTTTTAATGTAGGTATATCTCACTCTTTCCGCTTATAAAATTGTGTCTTATATTGGAATTTCTACTTGTTGCCATTTTTGGTATTTTACCTATGAGATCCTTAGATTATATGTTATGTTGATTGACCTTCTCATTCACTTCTTTCAAATTTTAATTTTATTTATTCCCTCCCTTTCAGACACTGAGAAACAAGTACATGTGTCTACATGAGAGTGTAACCCCTCCAGGTTAAATGGTTATTTTTATTTTAGTTATTCTTTAAATTTGGGCCCTGTTTGGCAGTGTCATAAATTTAGGTGTAATGTTGTCTGATTAACTCAATAAAAAAAACCAATGGGACATATGTAAAAAAATTGTTACTCAGGCAAGCTCAACTAATTCTTTCATTAATTCTGGGAACAAACTTGACATCTTAGGCCATCTTAAGCCCCATAACATCAATATTACACTCTATGTGGGTAAAAAGTGTGATATAGGTATTATATGGTGCTGAAGGTATCCTATTATCTCAACTTTCTCTGTTTCAAACTTGAAATCAGTAGTTGACCTTGCCTCATGAAGAATTTTGTTACATATTTCTTAGAGCATCCGCATTGGTTGAACAGATTAGTGAGGATTAGCAACCTCTTTAATTCCAGGATTAGTGGGGTATAAATGTAACCCCCGTTAGCTCCAAAACTAACCCTGGAGCTAACTTAATCCAACCTCTAATCCCAACCAATATGGCTGGGAGGATTAGATTAGGCAGCTAATCCTGCCTAATCCGCACACCAATACGGATGCTCTTAGTGGTTCATTTTCTATTGAATCAATAAGGCAATATTACACTTAAATTTATGACACTGCCAAACAGGGCCTATTATAAATTTGCCTCTCTCTTATGCAAATAATACACATGTGAGAAATGCTAATTATCTCTCTTGTTTCTGGTTATCAAGTATTCATTATTTTCATGTGTTTACCTCTGCTGTGCTTATTTATAAGCGATAGATTATTCACATTTGACTATCTCTCTTGCGTTTAATCAAAAAGAGGTTATTCTCATTTGTTTATCTTATATTTCTCTCTTTTGTATCCTTTGAAATAAGAGAGATATTCAACATGTAGAAATTTACAATACCTTTGAAATAATTTCGCCTTTCCCCAAGGAAATGGTGTAATTGTATGGGGATCATACTTGTTTCCCAACCAGATTGACCCACACTTTGCAATTCTTAAGGGGAAGGCTTTCCCTCTAGGAATCCTTCACCCAGATAATATTGCCATACAAACCCAAATACCTTAATTAATACTAGTGAGTGGAGTTGAAGAAATTCACTCTCCATTTTTTCATATCATCTTAGCTTGTCTTATCAACAGTGCAACTGATATGATTCATGCATATGTATTGCATTGCATTGCCGGATCAATGCAGGGGCACTGAATTGCATTGCTTGAATTGAATTTTTTGATACAGAGCCAATGCCAATACAAGGCTATTTATCACATCACATTGCATTGTTTCACCGTTGTGGAACTACTCTTTGGTGGGAATAGAGCTTAGAGAGGGATGAGAGCTTGAAGGGCTGCCTCTCTGGTTACTGGGAGAGTAAGAAGAACAAGAAATAAGAGTATGGACTCTTAAAGAAAGGTGTGGCTAAATGAAGATGTGAGATTTGTAAATGGTAAGGTATGAGGATAATAATTCTGTGTGAAATGTCTTAATTCTGTAATGCTAAATATATTCCAAGTAAGTAATGCTAAATCAATGACCAGGGAGCAATAATGACAACTCTGATAGGGGACAAATGGCAAGGGCCAAGAGAGCACTACATATAAGTCTTCTGGGGGGAATAAGAAAACAAGGAGCAAGGCATCATCACAGGGTATATGTAACAAGGCAACAACATGGCTTGGGAGACAGGCTTGGGAATGGCATGTGTGACAAGGGTGAAACAAGGCTGAAGCAACAAGGATAGAAACATGACATAAGTGGCTACTGTAGTAAATTGCCATGGTATGTAATAAAGAGAAAGAAAGATGAATAAGAGCAGGGGTCTTTCCTAACAGTCTGGCTCTCTTTGATGGTGGACTTTCTCCCACTTTATACCTGATTTGTACTTATTTTATTACCAAGTGTGGCTGGTGATCCATGTGAAATATTACTGATGGGTTGTTGAGTCTGGTGGAGCTGATGAAAGTGTCTATGGGATGATTGGAGATGACCATGAGTATATTACATATGTAAGATGTTGAGTTGAGTGTTGTAGTGATATGTAGAAGGTGTGAAAATGGTCCAGAAAGGTGCTTGTAGAGTGTGACTGATTTTGATTGGTCTTACCACACCGTTGATATTATCTTATCTTACTCTATCATCTACATCCCTAGACTTCTGTTCCTCTGAGCAGTAAGTCTAGAAGAGAGCCTTCTCTACTCTTCTCTGAGCTTGACATGGTGATTGTCAGCACCAGTCTCTTATGTGACTTGGATCTGATGGGGTTTGGGGTCTCACTATAACTGCTGAGGCAGTCAGTGGAAAAGAAATTCACCTAAAAGCTAGGAAGTGGAGGGGTTAGCTCCCTGGGTTAGAGGTGATACACATGGAATGAGATTTGCGGTGTGGTAGTCAAAAATGTGAAAATTCAAAGTTTTTTCTATTTTCTTTTCTTATATATATTTTTATCTATATTATCATTCACACCCCATCAGAAATCACCCTACACACCTCAAGACCTGGATTTGACAGACAAATTCATCCTTGGTCACCACAGAGGCATCACTGGAACACACCTGGATCAACACTTACCCCACAATGGAAAACATATCACAAGGATTTCACCCATCAAGTACATGTCACCAATCACAATTACAACCCTCAAGCTACACAGACACCATCAGTACAGTACATCCCCACAATTACATACACACTCATTTACATACAGCTATTTCTCTTTCACTGCTACATATGACATCATACCTGCAACCTAAATTAGTGTACTTTCCTTGCATGACAGCTGCAGCTTGCACCACCACACTCACTTGTAAACACACCAGAACCTGACCAATCAGAATCACTCATTCAGCTGTTTGGATCACCACTTCAACTCTTGTACATGTCTGACCAATCACATTCACTCATTCAACTAAATTATGTAGCTAAAATACCTCATGTAATAGCCCAGCCCTTACCGCAAATCACTCATTACTGGCT